GGATTTGCGATATCTTAATGTTGGGTGCGAGTCATTTAAAAAAATTTTTTTTATTAATTAAATTAACTACAAACGAAATTAATGTTACTACAAACAACTACAAACCAAATGCTATCGATTTCTGTATTAAAAATTAATTTTGAAAAAGTCGGGTGCTAAGTTCACATAGGTAATTTTTTGGCTTAAAATTTTACGAATCAGGAAAAGCAGTCGCTCGGAAAGCAAAAGACTCAAGTTCGTTTCCCGATTCAGCGACATCGGATCGATATTTTTCTCGGCTACAATACTTTAGGGGGGTTAAATGGGAATATAGGAATAAAAATCTCGATTTGAGATTTATTCCTAAATAAAGCCTTAGCAACGGACCAAGCAATCTTCGTGCTTCGTGCACAATTAAGAAGTTATAGCGAAAAATTAATTTTCGCTATCTGACGCACAAACATCCGAATTCGGCTCGTATAACCTATTTATTTTAAATTATACATAATGTAATGTTTATGCTATGTTTTTGATAAAATACGTTGCAACAAAAAAATTGCTACAATATACGGACCGTATATTAAAGGGACACGAAATTATACATGGTTCCGATAAAATATAATGCATTCACATCGGCTTTTTCTCAACTGTCTTGATACACTACGGAACATGAAAAGTATTATTAAGACCGTCCTGCTAAGAGCCGAAGGTCCCGCTAAAATACGTTTCAATAAAAAAATGGTCCAGCTAAACTACATAACATAAACATGTATATTTGTATTGAAGAGTAATTATTTATTTTTTATTCTTTTCTCTAAAATATAAAATATATAATTATAAATGTAATAAACAGTTATTAACATATAGAACACATATCATATTGTTACTTAAAGAACACATATCACATTGCTACATGTTTTCTAGTTTCTGTACTAATTTTATGTCAAAAATAAATTTTTTTTACAAGCTGATTGTGTAAATTAAGAGATATACATATATATGTATACAAATATATAATATAAAAAATATTTGACAACGCGTATCAAATAAAAAATACATATTGATTTAATTACCTGTAACAAAAATTTGTCTATTATCTTGCAAATAACCATTCTTAAATTATTAATTATAGAAACTTCATGGAGGTTTTTAATAATTAATAACTAAAAACTTTTTTCGTGATTGTTTATATTGTAGAAAGTTTTTGTTCAGGACTTAATCTACATATATTTTATATTCGATACCAAAGATACTCTGTATACATATATATGTAAATACTATATGTGAATATTTATTGTAAAAATAAAATTAGAAGAGAACAGTACTTTTAAGAAGTACATTTATGATGAAAATAAGCTGCATATAACTATTACATATGTACTATTCTATTCTAATGTCATTTCGTTACATTTCGCAAGTAATAGAAAACAGACTTTCATATAAATTCATTGTTATATGTATGTAGCAAATTGTTTTATGTTTGATACTATCGTCAAATATTCTACGTGTATATTTTAAAAATAAAATTAGAAGAGAACAGTACTTTTAAAAAGTACATTTGATGAAAATAAGTTGCATATAACTATTACATATGTACTATTCTGTTCTAATTTCATTTTGTTACATTTCACAAGTAATAGAAAACATACTTTCATATAAATTCATTGTTATATGTATGTAGCAAATTGTTTTATGTTCGATACTATCGTCAAATATACTACGTGTATAATTGTTTTAAAAATAAAATTAGAAGAGAACAGTACTTGTAAAAAGGTACATTTGTGATGAATATAAGTTGCATATAAGTATTACATATGTATTACATATTCTATTGTAATTTTATTTCTTTAGATTATAATCTAATTCTAATTATTCTAACAATAAGTTATAAAAACATACTTTCTTATAAACTTATTGTTATATGTATCAAATAAAAAGAAACATTTTGTCAATAATATCAATTGTGATATTGCATTTGTACTACTTATGTTAACTTTATATCTACATCAACAAGTAAAAAAATAAACTTTCTTCTAAACTGATTATTTTTACATATATAAATGTACATATGTATATGTATATATATATACTGCACATACGTATATTAGCTTTTATTGCACTTCATATAGTACTATATTTCTATCAGTCTTGTATTAAATTAAAAAATACTCTTTTAAAATTACCCAGATAGCAAGTTGCCGGCAGGTTGTTGTCAATTTGCTCGAATTATTTTGCTTAAGTTGTTTTCCATATTGAGAAAAGCGGCTTCCGATTTTGCCTATTAGATTGTCGATTGTTATTGCTACCGATAATTGTGAACAACTTGAGAGCAACTTAAGAGCAACAGTTGCTGTCTTCAGAACCGTTTGTATAAAAGTTATTGGAAATTACAGAGCAACATGACAAAAACAATTTGCGGTAACTAGTGTAGGCAACTATTGTCCGTATAATGCCTTTATGTTAATCTAAACGAAATTACTATTATCTCGATGATAGCAACATAATGACAACTGAATGAAAACTTGTGTCAAGCAACGATTTTCTTTCTTATGCCAAGGGACGCTTTGCTATCTGGGTATTTTTATTTATATATATGTATGTATACGTATATATATGTATACTATTTTTATTGCACTATATGTTGTACTTTTTCTAACAGCCTTCATATTTTTGCAATAGTCTAGTAGTCTTTTCAATAAGTTTTCTAATTGTTTTTTCCATTATATTATAAACGATATGTAGCATCAAACTAAATCAATATTATCTAAACAAACTAAACGTAATAAATGATATGCGTATCATTAAATAATAAACTTTATATAAACTATAACAAGTTTGACAACTATGTATATAATTATGTTTAAATTTTTATTCGCTTCATTTTAATACGTTTTTGATTGTGTATCCATGTTTTAATCACAGGCACGCTTCGATGTCCCAATGTATCAGAATGCTTTTTAATCAATTTTCCAATTTCATTGAATGTAGGTAATTTGTTGTCATTGGAATTTATATAATGACCAAAAGCATCTATAACGATACGTTTTTCATTTTGTGTCCATCGACTGCGACTAGATACTGGAAATATTAAAATATTTATTACATATATATACACATTATACATAATTTTCTAGATTTACATATAATATTTAATTGACATTTTATAAAATATATCAAGATTTATATTTACAGAGTATATGACGAAAAGTTTTGAATTAAAAATATACATGTAAATTAGGTCATCCAAAGCAAAAAGTTTTTTATTTTGTTTTGCAAACTATGCAAATTTCAGAGTTATTAATTAAAACATTCTTTATACATATATGGTTAAAACTTAAAATTTTTCGTGGCTTGCTAAATAATGGTAGATGACTTTTGTTCAGAATGATCAAATCTACATGTATACTTTTTACTCAAAACTTTTCGATATACACCTTAATATAAATAGAAATATATATACAGAATGGATTTTTTGACAGTTTAATCAATCCACTGGAATATTTCAGAACTCCTAAGTTTAAGACAAAAATGTTTCAAGTAAGAGTTATTTGATGTTGAAATCATCTGACGGTGATCTTTATTTGACTACATGAATCGAAGTCCTGAGGGTTATATTTCAAGGTACACTTTATTTTTTGAAATAAAATCACTATAATTTTATATAAATCGATTTCTTCTATTTTGCATAAAAAGTTATGAGTGGGATGACCATAAAGTGATTGATTAGTTTACAAGATATTTTGTATTTTATTGTGACATAATTTTTCATCAACTATGAAATATCTTGTAAAATATTTATTTTCCGATACTCTTTCCTCAATACTTTTATGCACAAAATAATAAGAGAAATTAATTGGTGCAAAGAAAACACTGTTGTTTTCAAGAAAAAATATATAGCTTCTAGTTACAAATAACATATTTTTAAAAAAACGACTATGTATTTTTTTTACACCAATTGACTTCTATAAATAAAATATAAAATCATAACCTTTGTACATATATGTATATTATTATTGCAAAATAATATTTTACTTACTCTTTTTGTTTTGTTGAAAATTTTGTAAACGACGTTTCTGATCAACCACTTTTTTCTTAATATTTATCATGTTTTGATCATTTTGCATATTATCATCTAAATGATTAGTATCTGACAATATATCATTCGATGATGGTTCATCAACATCTTCATCTACATTTACATTAACAGAAATTTACATTATATTTAAGTTAACAGAATTTATAAATTCTATCACCGGTATTCATTGTACAATGTTATATGTAAAACTGTTTTAATTTTATCTTTAGATACTGTTCGCGAACTCAGTAAAATACTAAAGAGAGAGAGCGCGGGAATACCGGCGCACGTGGTCGGGAAAAAGATGGTGGTTTTACGCGGCGACAATAGACGAGGCGGGGAAATAAATCACTCGCGCTTCGTAACAGTCAATGGTCTTTTTTATTCCGCACAATCACAAATGTACACAACTAATTCGTCACGATAGACAGAAAATTAATATACGAGATATAATACGATGACTTGAACGACTTATTATTTGATACGTTACTGAGAGCGATACAGAACACGTGTACACTGACTCAAGGATTACTCCAGAATGCTTCCTTCTTCCTCGTCACTACGGAAGTGACGGGACGACCGCGCTAATCAGATATCGATCTAAACGGAAATCAATATGATTGCTATCAATCGATGCTCTGAGCGACGCCGCGATCTCAGAGATGGCGCGTGCATGTCGGTTCGCACGCTCGGCAACACACTCGCACGAACATACCGCTCGCCTCGCTTATTTAATAAGCGACAGAAACAATTTATAATAAACTAATGATTAGTCACATCAGTTGACTAGGATAAATGCTAATTTACATTTTAATGTTATACATAAATGTAATTAATCTACACTTAATCTATAGATATCACAGACGCGAAATATCGGGCGTTGGGCGCCGCCCGCCGTAAGGTATGATACCCAAAAAAAAAAAAAACACAAAAAAAAGAAATGGAACTACAGATTGTGATCCTTTTCGTCTCGATCAGCGATCGGAAGGAGACACAATTTGTGGATCGGTCGTCGAAAGGTAGAGGTAGCAGTCCTCACCTCGCAAACGCGGATCAACCCATCTTCACTCGGGAAGCACTGTGTTATACGCCCTAATTCCCATCTAGAGGGTGGAGCATTGTCATCCTTAATGATGACAATATCACCCACGTTTAAATTTGCGCGCTGATTGTGCCATTTATTGCGCTTCTGCAGAGAGTTAAGAAAATCCAAGCGCCAAACCTGCCAAAATCGGTCTCGCATCCGCTGAACGAGTTGATATCTCGTCAATCTCGATTCCGGACGATCTAGTAGCAAAGCATCAGGCAACGCAAGAAGTGGAGCGCCGGTCAAGAAGTGACCGGGAGTCAAATACGATAGATCGTCTGGGGAATTCGAGAGTCCAGCGATCGGTCGCGAATTTAGGCAGGCCTCTATTTGACACAACAGTGTCTCTAATTCGGCAATGGTTAGCGTATGTACGCCAACTATACGCTTTAAGTGGTGCTTGACCGACTTTACTCCAGCTTCCCAAATCCCGCCAAAGTGTGGAGCGGAGGCTGGAATAAAGCGCCATTCTATGCCTAACGAGGCCATAGATGATTCGACGGCACCATCGCACATACTAGCGTGAAAAATACGGTATAATTCCGTCTGCGCGCCACGGAAATTGGTTCCGTTATCGCTTAATACAATCGCAGGAATACCGCGGCGTGAACAAAATCGTCGAAAGGCGGCGATGAATGCTGCGGAAGACAGATCGGTAACGAGTTCTATGTGCACGGCACGGGTTATCAAGCACACGAAAAGGGCTATATAGGCCTTACGGGATTGATGACCACGTCCGGCGAAGGCGCGCACTGGCAAGGGTCCGGCATAATCTACCCCGACTTTCAAAAACGGACGCGCCACATTAGTTCGTATCTCGGGCAAATGAGCCATTTTCTGACTGCTCAAATTTGCACGATGTCGAGAGCAGATGACACACTGACCAATAACCGATCGTACAATTATTTTTGCTCGGAGTATCCAGTACTCCTCTCGGAGTAGACGTAATGTTAACGACGTTCCCCCATGGAGAGTGCGTAAATGTGCATCACGCACTATTATACGCGTCAGAGGAGTTTGGCTCAGGATTACTGGATGCTTCTGAGCGAATGTCAATGGAGCGTGCATCAATCTGCCTCCCATACGAATAATTCCGTCATCATCAATGAACGGATCCAAAGAAAGTAGCGAACTCGAACGTGGCAATCTTTGCTCGGCTCGCAATAAATGAAGTTCGGTCGCATATAACGACGACTGTATGACCTTGATCCAAAAGGTTTTGGCTTCCGTCATCAACCGCGTAGTGTATAAAAGTTCCGTACATGGAAGCTGTCGTCGTGTCAGTTTCACGAAGCGTAAAATTAACGCAGTTATCTTGAGCAGTTTGCTCCAATCAGAATAGCGAGTGGACAGATCCCACTCGGAGACATTGGTGACGTGAGTGACGACTGACCGTGCCTCAAGGTCAGAAGTCGGCAGACTATCAGAAGAGTCGACAGAGGGCCACTCTTGGGGCTCACAGGAGAGCCACGAGGGCCCGTACCACCATAGTGGATTTTTGATCAATTGAGTCGGAGAGACTCCACGAGAAGCTAAGTCCGCAGGGTTGTCCTGCGTAGGAACATGACGCCAACTTGCCTGAGGACATTGCGTTTGGATGAGAGACACCCGATTCGCCACGAATACTTTCCATGTGGCCGGAGACTTGCTAAGCCAGGCCAATGCGACGGTGGAATCCGTCCAAGCGTAAATGGGGACCTGCTCAAGGTTCAACGCAGAAATGGTCCAAGCAAGGAGCCGTGATAAGAGTTCGGCCGCACAGAGCTCCAAACGAGGAACCGAGACCGTTTTCAACGGAGCAACCTTGCTCTTACTTGTTAGCAAGAAAACTTGTGGCTCGAATTTATGGATCACTCGAAGGTAGATCACGGCTGCGTAAGCGGCCTGGGACGCATCCGCGAACCCATGGATCTCGATACTTGAGTCCTCGCGGGAGTGCACCCAGCGCGGGATACAAACAGTAGCAAGCGAGATGAGTCCGTGGCAAAAAGAGATGCACCTTTCATTCAGGTCCGACGGTAGTGTCGTGTCCCAGTCGATCCTAGACAGCCACAATTGTTGAATAAGGATCTTACCGATAATAATGACAGGCGACAACCAACCTAATGGATCGTAGATTCTCGATATATACGAGAGAAAGGTGCGTTTTGTTATATGCGACGGAACTTCTGCACAAATACGAAAACTAAAAGCATCCTCCAATGGTGCCCAATATATGCCAAGGATTTTTAATTGATCATCCTCTTTAAAATCTACGTTTTGTGCAGGATCGCGAATCGTTTCGGATAAATCGGAGATTAAATCCGGACAATTGGAACTCCATTTGTGTAGAGGAAACCCGCCCGCGTTGGTCAGTCCTATCATCTGCTCTCGAATCTCGCGACATTCTTCTATCTCCGACGCGCCAAAAAATATATCGTCAACATATGAATTGAATATGACGTTATGCGCAGCCAGAGGGAAACGATGCTTCTCGTCCTCTGCTAACTGCCGCAAGACGCGCAATGCTAAAAAGGGCGCAGGAGCGGTGCCGTAAGTTACCGTCCGTAACCGATACGGAATTACCGCGTCTTTCTCCGATTGCCTCCAGAGAATTAATTGAAAACGCGTATGATCATCGTGCACGCGAATTTGCCGAAACATCTTCGCAATATCGGCGGCACACACAAACCGGTGCCAGCGCCAACGTAACAAAATGGCACATAGATCAGTCTGCAATTTTGGTCCAATAAGGAGGCAGTCGTTGAGAGACTTTCCATTGCCAGTGCGCGCAGACGCGTTAAATACAACCCTTACCTTCGTCGAAGTGCTACTTGGCTTTAATACCGGATGATGCGGTATAAAGCATCGCTGCTCCTCGACATCCGTGGGCGTATACGGACTCATATGTCCTAATCTTAAATATTCATTTAAGAAATCATTATATTCGACAGCTAACTGTCGATCCTTTTTCAAACGACGCTCCAAAGACGCATACATACGGAGCGAATTTTTGTGAGAATCCCCAATATCAATTGGAAGATTCCCCTTAAACGGCAACGCGACATTGTACCTTCCTGACGTATCACGATTAGTAGTCGCGACGAAGAGGTCCTCGCAATATTGATCCTCAGCGGATAACTGGGTCTGCGAAGGAATCTCCTCAACCTCCCAAAAGCGCTCGATCGCACGAGTCAAATCAGTATTAGGGGTCACGTGTAATGACGAAATAGTCGTATGCGACGACGATACATTGACAGGACCGTCGTCCACCGGACCGCGCAGCACCCACCCGAATCGCGAATGAATAGCATACGGCTCTCCGGGAAACTTCACCCGATCCTGAAGTATTATTTCGTCATAACAATCGGCACCGAGTATTAAGTCGATCGGCTTATCACTGCAGGGGTCGGGGTCGGCCAATGTCAGTTGTCCGACGCCGGTCCACTCAGAAGCCTTAACAAATCGTCGCGGAACATAATTAGAAAGCCGAGATAAAATAAGAGGCTCGATCACGACTACAAGCTGAGACTTATTTCGTGATCGTAGCTCAACGCGGGTGGAGTGCTTCACGACCCCGGAGACGGTGGCGCCAGTACCTGAAATTGAAGCAGAGCACGCAATTCTTTGCACGCGTAACGCTTGAGCAGCTGCTTCAGATATTAACGAGCACTCGGAGCCAGAATCTATGACTGCGCGAAATGGCAGTTCACGACCTTCAGCCGTACGCACGTGTACCCACGCTGTCGCAATTAACACCGGCCTTAACGTTTTTGACTTGGCGACTCCCGAATGACAGGAAGTTACATTAGATAACTTCGCGTGATCGTTACTCGAAACGGAAGTAACCGCGTTACTGTTTATTGACTCGGGATCCGATGTACGCGGTGAGAATGCTTGATGAAGCATTTTATGATGCCGCTTCTTACACTTATCGCAACCCGGTTTGTTTTTACAGCTCGGCGGAAAATGACCTTTAGCGAGACAATTAAAGCATAAATGCGCCGCTCGGGCGGAATCTAAACGTTCGCTCGCAGACATGACCTTGAATTTCGCGCACTTCGATATGTTATGAGCCGCGGAGCACAAATGACAAACAGAAGTATTGGTGTTCGCAACGTGCAAAGTGACCTTAGAGTCAACACCGTTTTTATGTTTTGAATTTTTCGTTACGGCATTGTCGTTCAGGCATGTGACTTCGCTTTTAATCGACGCAACATTTAAAGCGTGTACTTTACCGTTCAGAAATTGCTCAAGTTCGTCATAATTTGGAAATGTTTCTCTTTTACCGATGTTCTCTTCCCAACTCTTTCGAATCGTCGGGTCCAGACGCATAAGCGTCATAACAACTAATATGGAATCCCACAATAATTGATTCAAGTTTTCGAGAGAGACAAGTATTTCGCGAGTTTGATTAACTAGAGTCTCTAACGCGGCCGGACTATCGCCGCTTACGGGCCTAAGTTTTAATAACCGAACTATAAGAGAAAAAGTCAAAACTTGAATATCTTGATAATGATCATTAATTAATTTCCAAGCCGATTCGAAATTTGCATCGGTAATCGGTAAATTTTTAATCAACGACAATGCCGTACCGGTCAAACAACTTTTAAGATAATAAAACTTCTGTACGTTAGACAGTCCAGACTCACGGACGACCATCGAGTCAAACATGTCTCGAAAGTGGGCCCAGTCCTTCTGATCTCCGTTGAAGGTCGGCAGAGGGATGCGCTCGAGACTGGTGAACCTCGAAGTCGACGATGCGTCGGCAGCGTCCCTCCTAATTGACGATGTCGAAGGCATGTTGCTCTGCAAGGCGGTGAGCGCGTCCGTCGCATCAAGAACTCGATCCTCCATGTCACCAAATTCGGTACCTTTGAGATAGTCACTGACGTCCGGATCAATCGAATATGCCGTTAACTCCTCGTGATTGCATCGACATTTGGCCCATAGCTGCGTTAACGTTTGGAGTTTCGTCGAGACTGTAATGGAGGCGGACGTTTCAGTGAGCCTCACAGCCGAATTGCACGTGCGATGAATAGATCGCAAATATTCTCTTTGTACAACGAGCAACGCTATAATGCTGCCCTGAGAACGAGTACGATTTCTCGATTGGTCCGTCGGTAACTTGAGCGTATCTCCAGGCATGATGACGTCACAGTTTATCACTTCACGGCCGAAGAAAAAAAGAATAAGTTAATTCTTCAATAATTATTTACAACGTGATAGATTATCACAAGAGAGTGACTAGCGGATCTAATAAACAACAGTCTCGAACAATCGTAATGACTGGAGTCACTTATCAATCCGATAATTATCACAAGAACGACGAACGAATCCCGAAAGCGATAGATTCGGAATATCGCACTAAACTGAGTCAAATTATCACTCCGATAAATTGTCAACAAGAACGACGAACGAATCGCGATAACTATAGATTCGAATCGTCGTACGAAGTGGAGTCAAATTATCACTCCGAAAAAATTGTCAAAAAGAACGTTGAACGAATCGCGAAAACTATAGATTCGAATCGTCGCACGAAATGGAGTCAAATTATCACTCCGAAAAAATTGTCAAAAAGATCGTCGAACTAATCGCGAAACTATAGATTCGAATCGTCGCACGAAATGGAGAAATTATCACTCCGAAAAAAATTGTCAAAGAGATCGTCGAACGAATCGCGAAACTATAGGTTCGAATCGGCGCACGAAATGGAGAAATTATCACTCCGAAAAAAATTGTCAAAGAGATCGTCGAACGAATCGCGAAACTATAGGTTCGAATCGGCGCACGAAATGGAGTCAAATTATCACTCCGAAAAAATTGTCAAAAAAGAACGTCGAACGAATCGCATAAGAGATAGATTCGGAGTAACGCACTAAACGAAGTCAATTATCACTCCGATAAATTGTCAAAAAGAACGACGAACGAATCGCATAAACTATAGATTCGAACCGTCGGACGAAATGGAGTAAAATGATAACTCCGTTCGTATCACTAAATGTCACTGTTCAAGTCACTGTCCGCTAGAATCGAGATTAATCGCTTCTGTTCGCGATTTCACAGACACGTAGAGAAGGGCCACGTGGCAGTCTATCACGTATTACGACACGAATGTGCACATATAAGGGCGATAACTCGATTCGTCGCTCGTGCACTCGATAGTTTATGCACTTTAATTCACCGATTCACGGACCATCCGGCTCGAAGGACCATGTTCGCGAACTCAGTAAAATACTAAAGAGAGAGAGCGCGGGAATACCGGCGCACGTGGTCGGGAAAAAGATGGTGGTTTTACGCGGCGACAATAGACGAGGCGGGGAAATAAATCACTCGCGCTTCGTAACAGTCAATGGTCTTTTTTATTCCGCACAATCACAAATGTACACAACTAATTCGTCACGATAGACAGAAAATTAATATACGAGATATAATACGATGACTTGAACGACTTATTATTTGATACGTTACTGAGAGCGATACAGAACACGTGTACACTGACTCAAGGATTACTCCAGAATGTTTCCTTCTTCCTCGTCACTACGGAAGTGACGGGACGACCGCGCTAATCAGATATCGATCTAAACGGAAATCAATATGATTGCTATCAATCGATGCTCTGAGCGACGCCGCGATCTCAGAGATGGCGCGTGCATGTCGGTTCGCACGCTCGGCAACACACTCGCACGAACAGATACTGTAAACGCTGTTTTATTATATACTACATATCATCTGAAAATAAACTTAAGACAGCCTTAAATATAAAATCAAATTACGAATGTTCTCTTATATCAAAGAAACCAATATGATCTTAAGTTTTAAATTAGATTCATTCCTTAATCACTACTTGACTAAAATGTGATTTAAAAAATTAAATTTTATTTGTGAAGGAATAAAGTACCTTGTTGAAAATCTCGAATGACTTTTCTAGATGCAATTTCTTTATTAATTGTATCATCGTGAGTTTCTGTAGTCTTCGCTGTATTTTCAACATCTGAAAGTTCAGAGTCAGAATCATCATTACTATCACTTTCATTTATATCGGCTCCTTGTGCGGCTTCCAGATATTGAGATATTTCTAAGATTTCTTTTTCAATAACAGGTTGTCTATAGTGAGATAAATGAATTTTATCGGCATGGCCCATAAAATTTGCAAGCGTTGAAACTTCATTTTCAGATAGATTATAATGAACACAAATTGTTGCTATATGCTTCCGTAATTCAGTCGCACGAATAGTTTCTGGATTTTCTGCGCCACTATCTACTGCATATTGCCGTAATAAATCACACGCTAAAAGATATCGGTGTTTATCTTTTTGAAGCGAAGGAAGACCAAATAGGTATGGATTCTTCGAAGAAACTTTTGCAGCCTTTCTATGCTTTAAAATTATTTCGATGCAGTCTCTTAATTCTTCTGTTAGTAAGACTGGTACCGTTCGTCCAAGTTTACCTCTGAGGGTAAATCGCACATATCTTTTAGCAATTTCTTTGGCACGTGCTGAAAGCGCTTTATACATGTCGTTTGTCTGATAATTAATACCTTGATACGCCTTATAATCCTCGATTAACGTCCTTTGTATCTCTCCGGCTCTACGACGATTAAACACTTGTACTGAAGTCAATGTAGATTTCGTAAGCGAAAGCCATGCATCATAGCAGAACTTTTCTTTCAAAAAATTATAAGCTGTTTCACGTTCTTGTTTTAGAAAATTATGAAGCTTAATAATATCTGCTTTACAGGGTAACGTAATCTTTTTACGTCTTAGATTTCTAGTCATTGTTTCTGATATTGTTTTTGATATACGTGTTGCAAAATCTTCGGTAAATACTTTCAAAAAGTCTTCAGCACGTAACTTCCTTTCCTTGTCTTCTTTTCTAATACATCGATTGATTAAAAGTTTACCCACTTCTTTTAGTAAACCTCCAAGTCCAGAAGCCAGTGAAGGAGTTTTGAAAAATTTTCCACATAAAGATAAACCGGCTAACGTATTAATTGCTTCAATGCAAGTATTGCTGTATCGGGGGAAGTAAATGGAAGCAAAATCCGTAATATCAGAATTTTTACATTTTATTACTTGAAGCAGACGACCCATTCTTCTTAATTTTTGTCTAATCAATGTATCATTGTGTTCAGATGTTTTATATTTTTCGCACTGTTGATTACCAAATGCTATTATTAGTTCGTCGTAACGGATATTTCTTACTATATCATCTTCTCGTAAAAGTGGGAAAACTCGTAATCTTAGAGCATTGCTTGCCTCATTATGTATACGTCCTATTATTTGTCTTCCTAAAATTGATATTGATCTATTATCTTTAACTTTAATCATTTCTTTAATGCATCTTTGATAGTGATGTCTGCTTGTAACTTTTAGAATGAAAGCTTTACATTTTGGACATACGACGTATTCAGAAGGTATCCTGTTGTATTCTTTCTTTGAACGTCTTTCTACTAATAATTCACCATCATTTCGTGCACAATCGGTATTAAAATAGAAATCTCCACGTCTACGTATCGTTTCTAAGATCTTTCTTCGTTCTGCATTCCCTTTTGGCATGTGTTTAAATTTTTGAACTTCTAATTCATTCGCATGTACTCTCTCAAGATGACGAGCTATTTTGCTCTGAAACGTATTGCAATACATACAGAAATGCTTCTTGTTTCCTGCACCAACTGATGTAACAAACATTTCAGTGTCATCCCGAGCACATTTCCCAGATACGTTTAGTGACATTGATATGTCTAATCCACTAGAAGTATTTGCCGAACTGTTAGTTTCTTTAGCAAAAGAATTTCTTGTCTGATTCATCACAGGTTGAACGAAACTTTCATTAGACGAAGTGTTTGATGGTACGTAAGATGGATCCTCATCGCTAACATTTTCAATGTTGTCTTCCATAGTATTATTATCAAGACACGCTAAAAGAAGAGAAAAATATGCATGTTAAATAACAAAAAAAATTATAGATTTTTTAATACGTAAGAAATTATACAGAATGCTTCGTTAAAAAAGATTCACACAAATATTTCAGAAACTTTGTTATTTTAAAAAGTAATTTAAGTAAAAGTTATTTATTGTTGAAAGAGTCATCTGATGGTAATATTTATTTAATTTTGCATCAAAATCCAAATGTTATTTCAAGATGAACTTAATTTTTTAAATCACTGTAAATAATTTTATATCGATTCCTTCTAATATTTGGAATAAAAGTTGAAGGATAATGTGATCAAAAAGTGAATAATTTGAGATATGTTGTACTTTAATATGACAATTTCACATAAACTATAAGTTCTCGTAAACTATTAACTTTTTGGTCATCTTACTCTCATAAATTTTTATACCTAATATTGCAAAAACTTAATTTATATAAAAAAATAATAGTGAAGTCCGTTTAAAAAAATTAAGTTGACCTTGAACTAAACTTCTGGATTTTGATCTAAAGTCAAATAAAGATCATCAAACGAGTTCCTTAACATCAAATAACTTTCACTCAAAATATTTTTTAAGATAAAGCAAATAAGTTTCTGATATATTTCTGTATATCTTTTAAAATGGGTTACTCAGTATGATTCATATAGTTAACGAGATGCTAGACGCCAGTATAATTGCTTTTCTAATTTACTTGTAACGGCGTAGCCGTTACTAACGCCTCGCGGGCCGATCACCCGCCCGCCACTTGAGGCTATGGCGCCTAAGGCGCCCCTAAGCACAAAATCATAACTGATACACGGGTCACCCTACCCCAGGGGCGCCCCACTACAACCCCCAGAGGCGCCCCACTACGACGCCGGCGTTACCCCCACCACAGCCTCGATGTAGAGTGGGGGAACCGCCGGCAGGGTATATAAGCCGGCTCGACGGATGAGCCGGCACCAGTCCTGTTCCGGACCTCCTAGCCAGGCAACGGGCTTCTCGTTGTTACGCCGGGTTTCTCGGTTTCTGGCCTCCTACCTTTAGTATCGGGCAACGGGTTTCTCGTTGTTACGCCGGGTTTCCCGGTTTCCGGTCTCTTCCTGCTATACACCGGGTGACGGGTTTCTCGTCATTACGCCGGGTTTCCCGGTTTCCGGTCTCTTCCTGCTACACGCCGGGCAACGGGTTTCTCGTTGTTACGCCGGGTTTCCCGGTTTCCGGTCTCTTCCTGCT